AGGAGCTTGGAATGGCAGTGGGGGAGCTTCCTTCCGGGTGCTGGGACCAGCTGAGCTTCTCTGCCCTAGGAGCCTGGGATGGAGGCGGGGAGCTTCCTTCCAGGTGCTGGGACCAGCTGAGCTTCTCTGCCCTAGGAGCCTGGGATGGAGGCCAAGACTTTCTTTCTTAAAGAAAAATTTAGGGGATTTTTTTGCAGATCATCTTCTTCCCTTACTACTGCAAAATCCAGAATGCCACTTAAATTTGCAAAGAAAAGGTCTCACTAAAAAGACTGTAGAAATTACTGTATGAGTTTAGTTTGTTTTTTGGGGGGTGGTTTTTTTGGATAGTAGGTACATTTGAAATGTAAGAGAAAATGAACTATTATTCTCTTAGGTTAACATCTTTAGAGACCTCTGGGGTTCTCCAGTAATCCATGAAAATTATATATAAATTCCTTTTTAATTAAAGTTTTAAAAATTTAACACCGATAAGCTCTAGATCTATATTTTTAGCATTGATATAGGAGTTGCTTAGTTTATAAGTAAAATTTTTAAAGTAAATTTATGTGAGAGATGATTGTATTGTGGTTTTAACTGTTTAAATTTTGTTATGGAAGTGAAGTGGTCATTAGTTACAATAAAAATAGTATAATTACTGTTACTATTATCTAGTTATATTGATCTTTAAATTTTTTCAGTTGATTTTACTTTTTTTTTCCAGCTACATTGACAAGCTATTCTGAGAATGTGGAACGCACAAAATATGTTGGAGAAAGCAATAAAGAGTTAGGATCTGGAGGAAACCTAAAGCCTTGGCAGTCTCAAAAATCCAGCATGGACTCCTGTCTCTATCGAGTAGATGAAAATATGACTGCTTCTACCTATAGTCTAAATAAGATCCCAGAGAGGAATTTGGAAACAGTTTTATCTCAATCAGTGCAATCTATTCCTTTGTATCTTATGCCAAGGCCAAATTCAGTAGCAGGTAAGTGTTTTTTGTTTGTTTAAAAAGATAGCCATTTTACTGGGGTTTTGAAATAGCAATAAATCTTGCTCTAACAGATTTAAATTATGTATTCATCTTCTTTAAGCTTTTTTTTTTTTTTTTTGGTACCGGGGATCGAACTGGGGTCCTTGCACTTACGCAGCAGGCAGCCAAACCACTGAGCTAAATCCGCAGCCCCTTTTAAGCTATTTTTTTGCATTTAAGTAATATACGTGTGTAATTTTTTTTTAAGAGTAGGAAAAATTTATAGGGAGAAAGAAAGCTTCTACTTAAGAGAGACAGAAGGGCGACCAGAAAGTGGGTTGCCCACTCACCCCACTTTTCAAAGATGTTTTATACAGCAAAGCCATGTGGTGAGGTGGTTACAAAGTGGGACAAAACTATAAGACCCAGTGGAAATTTACAAGGTGGACATGAGGTGGGACAAAAGCATGACTAATAAGATTACAAGTACAGTCACCCAGGTAATATTAATTAAATGGGGGTCAAATGGGGAAGCAAGTCACGTAGCAACCATACAAGTAATTTCAGTAAGGGTGGGGGTCAGTAATATTTCCTGGAGAGGCTGGGTTAAGATCTTGACACCCACCTCCCCAGGTGATTGATACCTATTTAGACTATCAATCACTTCTATTTATCCACAGGGGAAGCACAAGGGTGTGTAGTTTCTCTCTTTTTACAGCTCTGGCCTTCAGTGAATGTGTCTTGATTGTCCTCCATGTTGGCTCCTTGCTGTGTTGGCTCCTGGAGGGCTGGTCCTGTCTAACCGCACACAGGATATCTAATTAACTTACCTATCTGCAATATTCCCCCCTCTGCAGAAGTACCCCTAACTGCTGTGAAGGGGCAAAGGGCAAAGACTGTTCTGGAGTTGTGATCATCAGTTAGAGTTACTCTACAGAGAGTCTATCTAAAGGCCCTTGATAGGTGCCAGGCATTGTCATCTTGGTAGCCATATAGCTTTGAGTCTGGAGGAGACAAAGCCAAAGAAACAGTTAATATGGGCCAAATTATAAGGTCAGCAGGATTGCTATGAATATAGCCAAAAAGGGTTTCCACTAGGAGGAACTAGTAAAGGAAAAGGTCCAGGGGACTTCAGAATCTAACATAGAAATCATATTGAATAGTTTAGCAGTTATGAGCTGTTTTACAAGGTCGATCTGGTGAATCCCAGTAAAAGAAGTCTAGCACATTTGTTATTGGTTCCATTTGTATGACTCCTTGGAGTTTGGCACCCTCTAGGCAAGAATAAACAAAACTTTTAAGAAATTAGAGCATGTATAATCTAAGCATGAGCACACTAGAATGGAAGGGCAGGTTGGGGAGAAAGTTGCACTTAGAAATTGAAATAGTGATTGTAACCTGCTGGCTCTTAGATTCTTTCACTGATAAAGTTTATGTATAAGTCTGATACCTTGTTATAAATCTCTAGTTTTAGCTGTAAGAAGATGAGACAATTTGAAGAACAAACCTTGCTTAAGAAATTTAAAATTCTAGCTGAACTCTTATAGATTTTACCGTAGTTTTTTCCTAATGATCCATAACTGTGGTCAGCTACTGGTGTAGCTAGAAACTGCCAGAAGGGGTCAGTGACTGGAGGCCCTTTTTATGTTTAGCTTTATTACTATGGCATTATTTTATACCTCTTTTGGTTATTCTTTTCTACTGGTTGTTTAAGACCAAGTTAAAGTGAGACCTGTGTGAATCACTGTGAACCTCTTGCTATCTATCAAGGTCAGCTAAGTCTCCTCAGGCATTACTTTGGAACCATGCATAGAGCCTCTCATCTCCTCTGTCAGTGTAAGCCATCAGGATGGGTCATGGCCTTCCTCAACCATGTTGCTTTCAGTGAAAGTGTGGGAGATTTTTCCCTCTTTGTGACCCTCCTTTGGCACATGGTACATTTCTCCTCTGGTTCCCAGCAGTCTCCCTGCTCAGGAGGTTGAGTGACTTACCAAAGGTGTAGGATCCTGTAGGAAAGGTTCCTTCATGTCCTGGATTCTTCGTTGACCTTGAGGAGCCAGGGCCAAATATTGGCTGTCCTCTTAGCCCAGTTAACCTTTCTAGTTTTGGTCTCCAAACTTTAGTTGTTGAAGACCCAGAAGAGAAGATCAGTGACATAAGTATTTCAGTAGGAGCAGTGAGCTTAACTATTATAATAGTTAAGACATGAAGCACGTTTGAAGTATAAAGCACAGTTAGAGGGCTGTTATTTTACCAACTATGGTTGGTAAAATGTTAACAGACAACATTTATATGTTGTATAGAAAAACTTAAGATCAAGAGCCACAGGTAGTATTTTAGCATGACAATTGTGATGATATCTTCTTTGTAACACATGTCTGTCTTAGTATGGAATAGTCTACCAGTCAAACACCTTCATCTGATCACAAGACATTAAATGACATAAAGAAAACTTATTTGTTATCCTTTAATAGGATGCCATCTAAAGAGAACATACATCTTGGCCTATAAATGTATCTTAGGAGTTCATAATGCCTGGCCTCTAATTTCAGTGTGACATTGTTTCAACTGTTTAGTGGCTGAGCATCCCTAAGTGTGATGACACATATAACATACATCACATAAGTTTTTAAGATAATTATTATTTGACTGGTTTTCTCACGCTGGCTTGACATATACCTCTTATCAAAAGTAGCTGGAGTGTAAGAGAAAGGCAGATACCGGAGTCAAAAAAGATCATTACCAGAAACAATATCTTAGAAGACCTGTACACCCAGAAGGCATGAATGACATTTAGTACACCATGAAATAACGATGAGTATCAGTTACATGAAACCCTTTGTCCCTTAATTTTGTTTTGTACCAAGAACATTTTAAATAAAACTTTGTTTTCCCACAGAAAACTTAGACCATGACCAATGTATACATATCACAATGATATGTTAAGCAATGTATTTCCCACAAGGCTGTGGAAATTATTGGGGTCCCCTTTGTAAGCAAAGGCTGGAATAAATTTTTCTAGGCAGCTGCTCCTTTATTTACCAAGGGGAGTCCTGTCCCGTAGTTTTCCTAAGCCCACGAGTCTTTATTTAATTATCTTAGCAAATTTTTAGATGACCTATGAGAGCCAGATCATAACAATTACATTGTTTTTGACCAATGAAAGATTCCCGCTATTATACATATGTACTGTATTTGTAAAATACAATATGTACTGTATTTGTAAAACCAGTTGACATTATTTGGATCATCTGGCAACCTGGGAGAACCATGTCTTTAATTACATTTATCTATAAGCCAACTTGAGTTGCAGGCAAACATCTTAAAAAATCCAAAATGCCAAAAGAAAAAAGCTCAAACATAACTGTACGTGTTGTAACAAATTGAACTGACAGACACATACAAAAGACAACTTGTTTGTAAACCAGAGTGCACTCAGATGTATTTGGCCAAGTTGAATTATAATAACTTTTATAATTTTTAGGTTTATAACTATAAATAAGACTAGTCAGAACTTTGTAGATCAGTTAACAGAGATCTCTTGTAATAAGAATCAAAAGGAATAAAAATCTTCTACATCTGTGAAAGCAAAGACCATTTTAACATGGGCCCTAAGCTGACAGTTTATCTGACTGAAATAACCAGCTATACAGGCTTCTCATTGTTGCTTTGATAACTGTAGTTGTTCAGTAGCCCCATGTAATTGTTCCCTCTAAAGGGACAGATTATTAAAGATAATTTTAACTCTCTCTAGTGGGGATCTGCTCAGGCCAGGTTTGCCTGTAGAAGAGACTAGGTGACACTCTTTGGAGCTACGTATGAATTCCAAGCAGTGAGGAAAGAAGGCCTGCTGAGGCTCCAACCTGCTGTGCTGCAGATGTCTACCTATGACAGTTTTTCCCAATTTGAAAAGAAATAAAGAGAAAGAAGGTATCCCTGTCTATCTCTCTTGTTCTGTGCCCAGTCTAAGGTACTCCTTAGACTTTATCTCATCCATTGCCAGTGGTGGCTGACTAGAGGTGGAAGGAAGTGGCCAGAGCCAGGTTAGCTATTCTTACCATTCTCTAATTTTACCTGAGGGCTGAAAGACAGATAAATATGAACTAAAACTTTTACATTTATCTTTTGAGAGCTTCAGGATTAAACGTAGACCAGTTTTCTCTGTGGCCCAGTGATAAATGAAGGTCATCTTTACTCTGGAAGGATTCCAGGAATGGGAACTCAGCATTCTGGAAGCTTTGTCTTAAAATCCAGCAGCCACAGAAAAGGGAAGTACCTTGAATCAAACTTCATTATTTCTCAAGAGCAGGGCAATAGAGAAGAACAGAAGAGTGGCTTTAAGTATGGCACAAGAGCTAAATCTTAACCATCTCAGGTATGGAAGGACAGTTAAGATCAAGAGCTTTTCCAGAGTAGATCTGCGATCCTTAGTAAAACATGTCTCCAGAGAGCAGAAGCTGTGATTGACTCTCACTACACTGCCAAGCAGAAAAATCAAACCAATAAATAAACCCAAATGGCCGCTTTTTGCCTCTTGAAAGAGAATGAAAGTGTTCTAACTATATATTGTTTAGGGCTTACCCTTTTAATGAATTACTCTGAATCCATAATATCTAATTTAGGATTGAAATGCCCCACAGGTTGTTGAGCAACTCCCTGATGTTGTAGAAACACTCCCAAAGCCATGTCTCACCTTTTATTAACATACAAACTGAAATGGTGTCCTGTAGTTAGGCACTTAGAAGTGCTTATTTGAACTTCTAGAGTGCGGTCCGGGAGTGAGGTCCCCAGGTGTCTGTCTCTTGGGTTTTTCTATAAGCTAATAGAGGGGTCAGGAAATCTCACTATATCCTGCTATCTAAGGGCCACAAAAGCCTGTAATTTCCAGGAATCTCCTTAGCTGTTTTAGAGTCTTTGGCTATGGAAAGGAAAGAATTTATTTATTTCTCTCTTTCCCCAGTCTTTGGGCTCCCCTAGATATAATAAGGCCTAAATATTTTACCTCAAAGCTGCAA